AAGAGGGCGAAATGATCGAATGATATGCGACGCATGGAGAATGTCAGGCCATCAAGGATCGTAGGAGGTGAAGCGTAGCCGATAAGATTCGTGTCGAGGAAAGAAAGGAAAAAGCATTTGCTGATGATAAGGGGGTATGAGAGTAATGTCGAGCCCCGCGAGTTCCGGCCCGGGGGAGCCAGCGGAAAGCACAAAACGCAGATGGATACGAAGTAGAGTCGTGATAAACGGGGTTGAGTTGTTGACAGCCAGGTCAATCCTTGGGGTCCAGCCACTCATACTCAAAAGAAATGCAGCAAAGCAGTAAAGCAGCAAAGCACCCTTAAGAAAGGGTCCCTGGGGACTTGTTTACTCTTTCCAATCCCACACCTGCCTTATAAAGTTCGTCATGTTGACCTTCTTGTTTCTCATGTCCTGCACCCATGGATGTTCCAGCATCCGCCAGGGTGTGGCACGTCGAGGGGGTTCTTTTTCCAAGCTGGTGGTCGAGTTAGCATAGAAAATCGGAATGAGAAGGACAAAGCACATACCAGCATTCGATGAAGTATTTGAAGTTGTCCGACCAGCGAATGCCATTTTGTGGCTCATCCTTCAACTTGGGAATTGGCTGGCGGACGATATAAGTTAGAAGATCTATTAGCCCTGCACGGGGTTGCATCTCAGTCCCGTCAGCAGGGAAGGGGAACCGGTGCTGCGCGACTTCCAGCAAAGTTACACCGAGAGACCAAACATCGGATGTGATGGTATATGATTGACCAGTAATGCGCTCTGGGGCCATATAGTAGGAAGTGCCAATGAAGGTGTTGGCGTCGCCCTTGGTACCAAATTCACCGCTGACACCAAAGTCACAGAGTTTGACCTTGCCATCACGGCACAAAAGGATATTCGATGGTTTGATGTCTAGAAGGTATTAGCCACTCATGGTCAGTGCTTCTCACGGAAAAATGGTTCGTACCTCGATGAATGATCTTTCGGCTATGGAGATAGGTCAACCCATTCAAGACACCTTCTGCGACCTTGCCCAGGACTTTCTCTCCAGTGCGACCTCCAAGCTTTTTGACCTCTTTATAAATGCTGTCCAGACTTCCACCTTCACAGAACTCCATGGCAATAGAGATGGTGCCCGTGGATTTATCCATGAAAGCACCGTAGTAACGACAGATGTGGTGCGAGGCGCAGTCTTTGTTGAAGTTAAGCTCACGAACAATTTGTTTCTTGACATCTGGGTTTGGATCCGTAGTAATGATCTAGAATGGGGTGTTAGCTTCGAGTGCCGAGAGCAGGTGTGCAAAAGTTGACGAGCCAAAAACGACTCACCTTCAATGCAAAAACAGTCTTTCCCTCCTTGAGGCGGCATCGGGTGACAGCTCCGCCAGCACCCTCTCCCAGACTTCCCAGTTCAACAATCATATTTTGTTCACTGGCCGCGTGCCAGCCTTCGTCGTCGAGATCATCCACGTCGAGGGGCCGGCCCTTCTCTAGACTCAGTTTGTCCAGATCGGGAAGAAGGCCGTTTGCGTTGTTTTCACGGTCTCCGTTCTCGCGATCTGAGTACACCGAACTAATTGCCGAGGACGGATCTGACGAGCCATCCGGCTGTCGGAGGCCCATGGCAAAATTGATCGTCGAGTAAGCAGGGTTTGACGAGGCTGGTCCGTTGGTCTGGATTTTTAGACTGGGCGCACCTCCCCCTCCTAGACCATTTGTACTCAGTGGAGGCGGGGCGGGTCGACCGTTAGGCATGAGGGTTGGCTGGGATACATTCTGCTGACTGCCCATAGGAGTAGCAAGATGCAATCGTGGTGGTGCTGGTCGACCCGACGGGCGAGACTGAGGTTGGGGTTGGGTTTGGATTTGAGGTAGTTGGGCGGGGGCCGGATTGCCATTGACGGGTTTGGCGCTAGGTGAGGGGGGAATGCCTAACGTGAGCTTCGGGGCCCGTGGGCTGCCGCCGTTATTGTTGCGAGCGCCAGGAACTGGCGGCCGAAGGAGAGGCACAGGGGATGGCATGGCGAGATTGTTTTGCCTTTCGCCAGGCAAAAACAACTCGTTTGGATCTGCGAGAGTCGCCACAGTGTCGACCTTGGCCCAGTCTGCCTTGGTGAGTCCGGGGGAGGGGAAGGGGAAAAGACGGATTGGAGTGAATGAAAAAAAAAGTTTTTTTTTAATGTGAAAGGCAGAACAGAAGGAGAAGGTGAAGCAAAGGTGAAGGCACAGGCAAAGACAGAGGCAGAAGCAGAGGCAGAAGTAAAAGAGATAAGGTAGAGAGAACAAACGAGTGGAGTTGGAAGTTACCGAGAGATGCGGCAGGTGACCTGTTACTCCACCATATAAGAAATAGAGTCCTTCGTATGGAGTACTTCTTCTAGAGTATATTTTAAGCAACGAGGGTCTAGTTCTAACATTTGTAGGACTTGGAAACTCTCTTCTCTCCGTAGAGAATATTAATAGAGCGACACAGCCGACAACAGAGGTCGGGCTATGGTGGGGCCTCTAATGTTTCAGAAAGCGTCTGAGCTGAAACACATGTCTATGTACGGAGTAGAAAGTAGAACGTCCAAAGTAGAAAGTACAGAACACGGAATACATTTCAATGTCTTTTTTTTTGTCGATGTAGTCGATTCTAATTGTAGAATACAGAGCATTCTCCCAATTACCAGGGTTCATATTTCTCTCCTCTTGATTCTGTCGGGACATCATGTACCTATAGGTATACCTGGTGACGAGTGAGATGGAGGGTAAAAACCAAAAAAAAAAAAAGGAATAACAAAGCCCATCTCTACTTGACGTTCTTGTAAACTTGCGTTGCTTTAGTGCCGTCGTCACTGTAAATTCAAGTCTCCTCAGAACTCCCACCTGAAAACGACCCATCATAGGCCATAGAGATCTTCCGCTGGACGGCGTTCAGCTTTTCCAAAGTGCCCGACATTTTGCAAAACTATCTTACCTGTTATCTCATGACAAATTGCGAAGGTCTCTAAATCCACACATCCCAAAAAAGAATTCGATTGACTACCCACAGATATATAGGATTGAGGGGGTTAGTTCCAGGCTCCAAGGCTAAGATTCGATCTCTTGGAAAGGTGTGGCTTAGCCCAACTTTACGGCTGCGCAATGAGACCCGATGATGACATGGGCCCGAAAACCCTAGTCGATCCGCACCAGTCGCATTTCAGCTGTCACCGTTAAATTTGGAATTTTTTTTTCCCTTTTTTCGGAAGGTGGGCGTTCAAAAGATCGGGTTGTGTACAGAGCACGAAGCACTGTCGAAGGGTTTGATCCCAAGGCTGTGGTTTAAATTAGACCCGATTCTTGCCGGGAGAGCCGGTTCCAAGTCCTATAGATGGGGCCAATCGTATAACATCGTACGGAGTAGATAGCCCCAGTGTGGATATCACAAATTGGGTTAATTTGAGACAAGCACCTGGTCAATCTCGATCTAAATTGGGTCCCAGTGAGTTCCAGGAAGCTCGCAAATGCAGATGCAATAGTTGGATTGGGTTTCTATGCGCAAAATTGACGTTGCCCGGAGTAGATGGGTTGACCTTGAATCGTGTCTTGAGCCAATCCTATGTATACACAACATGGAGATAAAATCACGAGAACCCTGACAAAATCGGGTACTTGTCTACACAAAAGCTTCCGTAGACTGATAATGCCAACAATGTATTCCTCATGATAGAAAATTGAGCCATTACCGAGAACTTTGCTGGTTGATCCTCGATCTCACTGGCTCTTCAAGAACGACCGTACTGACAAGAAACCCTGACGAAGGCCATGGTACTCGCCGATCCATAAAAATAGAGGGCTTTGCAACACCTTATTTGAAAAGGAGCGCGCAGAGCAGCTACTTTTTCCGATCCTTTCCAAACAGTCTGCACTGTATGAGCTTTGACGGGTGTGGGTTTGTATTACAGGATACACCGACCCCATTGTGGTACGAAAAAAAGTCGGTATATCTGGATTCCGTACGGAAACCGGAATGTTCGCGAGACATACGCCCAACAAGTTGAATTGTTCTCGGTGCCGCTCGCTTGTGTCATCCGCGCTAAACATGACGCGTCAGTGCTGATCGGTCGGGTTGGGTGACGATTAGGTGATTGTTGATGGCGATCAGATGAAATCGGATTTTGTAGAGTGGACTAGGCGACGAGATGAGGTGGCAGATGGGGATCGTCTTGCATCAAAGCTGAATTGATATCCTGGGTGGGCGCGAAGGACATCATCCTTGCACCGTATATCTGTCGGTGCTGTGTGAGTGGGAATAACCTTGGAAGCTCTATGGAATCTGTCATCTCAAGGTTCAAGCCATCGAGCAGTAGAAAGTTGGACTTGGATGTCCACAAATCACTCGACTATTCGTCTCGTGTGCATGGCGCTGCGCGATGCTCAGAATATGTCAAAGGATGTCAGGTGAGTAGAACAAAACCCCGGGATTCCTAGGATGCGGTCTGATAGGGAGAAGCCCCTTACCCGGCACAACAGAGACTCAGACACAACTGAGATCAAAGATCGAATGAGGAAGGTCAAGGATATCCCACGAGATAGGGGAGGATGAACTTTCGGAAAACGCCTAGGTCCACTCAAGCCAACATCTCACGAACGCCCCTTTCCTTGATGGTAAGGCTTAACGATATACTATATATATATCAAACACCCTTTGCCAATAATTAGGTCCCACAAAGCTAATGGTAGCTAAAGATAGCACCAAAGATGCGTGTGGGGTTAAGCGTACGACCTTACCATACAACACACTGTGGAATAGCATAATAGGCGCGATCGATTGAAAAAGGGGCCACAAAGGGCAGGCTTTCAGTAGCGGCATGTGGAGTCTGGGGGCGCCACGAGGCCTACGGAAACCGATTGGAGCGAACATCCCCTATCATGGAGTCGGGACAACGTAGGGGTCTATGTATGCTGTAAAGTCAAAAGTGTGAACCGGGCCAAACGATCATTGGCTATGTAACGTTGCCTCGGTGTGCCCTGACCCTGATCTTGCCCTAGCGGTCGAACCGCTTCGAAAGTTTGATCCTAGGTCTCGACTTGGGAACAGGATGAAGATCGACACGCTTTGATGCTGAAGGTTCCAACCACATTGTATGTTGTATCACGGAATACAGAGTATGTATATGTATGTGTATTTCAGTGTACACATCTCGTAAATGTAGATCCGGAGTAGGAAGTTCAAACAATAAAATCGACTGTGCAGCTCAAGTGGTGTAACGGACTCCGAATTACAGCGTATGCGCCATGTTAGGGACATCCAATCACACGGCCAAACCCTGATATTGGTTTCTTAAATTGCGCTTGGGCATTGAATCCCACATTACCTAGAACAGGGGCATGAGATGCAAGCATCGTCACTATGCCCAGAAGTAAAAAAACAATGCGGTCTAGCCGTCATGGCGTGAAGCGAGACCTTTCCGTTTCGGGCGGCAATTCGAGTACTCCGTAGTGGCGTTGTGTTTGGGGGGTTTCGATTTAGTTTTACTAAAATTGGCCAAGTTTTTGACCTGCTGGCGGTTGCGCGATGAGGGATAGTAAGAGATGGCGGTTCTTTTTAGATCCCCCCCAAAAAAATTCCAGTGTCGGATGACAAGATACTCAATACCCTGGCGGACACCGTACCACCAGAACTCCGATCTCTGTTCTACTAGTGAAAGGGTCATCCGTACAAGGTCCGAAGCACTCCATGCGTAGTAAGTAATAAACAAGTAATAACTAATACACAGGATGTCTCGGGATTCGCTCCGACAAAGCAATCGAAAGTGTTTTTGAGTTCCATGTTAAGATGAACGTCCGGAGAAAGAACCAATCCCATTTCGCAAGTAAAGTGCACATCATCGTGGACTCGCCCTTACACAGTACGTTCTCTTGGCGAAATAAATAGCGGGCTGTTCAGGGGTAAGTGGAGATGAGTAGAGACCCACGGGGAAGTGCTAACAACTGGGATACTAGGAACGGGTAGTGGATTAGCGATGAGGTCTGAAACATCAAGATTCGACAAATAAAATCGAACTAAAATCGAAATAAAATCGAAAAAAACTTAGCCGAGAAAAAGAGAGCGCGCGCGCGCGCGCGAGAGAGAGGGTGATGTAGAAGATCGGATTGCAGTGTCAACTCTTCTTCCTCCTTACGGGAGTATTCCCAAGTGTATCTCTCTCCCAATACCCCATGGGAACTTGATATGTGCACTCGGTCAGGGTGAAGGTCAAAGTCTCGATCGTCATAAGTTAACGCTAGAAACAACAGCGGGTCAAAATTACCAACCGACCTGGGAGTGAGGAACAACCCCCTGGCATCGATCCAATCACAGAATTGAATTAATGAAGGGTGTGAGATGGTTAAGTTCCGGGTACCTGGCAGGTTGCGGTGTAGAGTAGTGGTGGATTAAGTACCTAGTACAACTGGGGCTTGATTCTTTTTCCCCTTTTTTTAGGGCCAAAATAGATCAAAAAATGAATCCAAAATGGGTCAAAATAACGAGGAAGCAAGTGGCTGCTAATCTGTGACACTAATCTCCCCGTTCATACAAAGGCCCCCTGCCTCCCCCGTGCGGTTTCTGTTTCTTTCTTCTCTCCAAGTACATTCTTCGTTGCAAAGCATTCAGTCACTCTCTCTTGACTTCGGTCTTCCACTCTTTAAAAAAAACCCCCCCCAACTCACTCTTTTAAAAGCTCCGCTTTTTATAAATACCTTTTTAAACACTTTTGACAGTTTTCGTACATATCATTCAAAATGCGTTTCACCACTGCGACCATTGCCCTCTTCGCCGGCCTTGCCATCGCCGCCCCCGGTGCCGACCAGACCGTCTACGAGACCGATGAGGTGACCATCACCTCTTGCGCTCCCACGGTCACCGACTGCCCCGCCAGAAAGGGCGGTGCCGGTGTTGAGCCCACTGGCAGCACCACCCCCTCCAGCGCTCCCGCCACTGTCACCACCCCCGCCGGTGAGGCCTCTGAGACCGCCTCCGAGTCCACCGCCGCGTCCACTCAGACCGCCTGGTCCTCTGAGACCTCTTCCTGGACCTCCGTCCCCACCTGGGCTCCTTCCGCTCCTAGCGCCCCCGGTGCTCCCGCCCCCAGTGCTCCCGGTGCTCCTGGTTCTCCTGGTGCTCCTGGTTCCCCCAAGGCTCCTCGGTGCCCCCGGTGCTCCCGGTGCTCCTAACGCCCCCGGTGCCCCCGGCGCTCCTGGTGCTCCCAATGCCCCCGGCACTCCCGGTGCTCCCAACGCC